GAACAAGCCCGAATCACGACCGACGGCCGAAACGCGGGCAGCTGCGACTCTGCACGGACAAAGAATACTCTTGGAGCATACAGTCACCGCGCGGCGAGCACACTCACCACGGGACAGTCCGCCGAACCAAAGGTATATAGTGTTTTGATACGTTGTCTACGAGAAACCAGGCGACGTTTTATCTCGTAAATATGTGTTGCGTGCTTCTCGGTATTATTCGGCCAAGATACATGGTGTGCGCACGTAGAATGAAGCTTCGAACTTGTACGAATGAGGGAGCGCAAGAGGAAACGAAAGAAAGCATAAGTGAGTGAGCGAGTGAGCTAATAGAAAGATAGAAAGAGAGAGTGAGAAAGGGAGGAATGATGTGCGTGCGTGCTTGTGTGTGCGTTCGCGAGCGTGCGTGAGTTAGAGCAGGAATATTAAAAGACGACGCTGGCTGTAGGTGATTTCTCGATCGATGTGCGACGATTCGTGTGATTGGTGAACAGGAATGAAAAAGAACGGTGTTGCCGTTTATAATCTATCGAAGGGACACGTATTTTGAACGGCATTTGTAAAAACACGTGCATGTCCTACTCGTGGTTCGTCGTTTCGATCGTCTAGTGTGTTATTGATAAAAAGGAACAACAAGGTGATCGAAGAGTATATGTATACGTACGGTGATACGAAACGGGGAAACAGTGGAGTAAAAGAGCGAAAGCTCGTAGTGAAAACAAATCGAAAAGACAGGATACGAACACGACTAGCAAGAAGAACAAACACGGTAAAAACAGTGTCAAACGGTTCCCGCGACCAGAGTTCCTTCGTTTCGTCGTGTCGATATTATCGGTGATCGTGGATGAACGTTCGTTTTTAGCGTCCCCGAGGTCGACGTAACGGCGACCGATCGAAGAAAAATTTGGAATGTAACGCCGGCAAGACAGAGGCAACGGTAGTGGCAGTAGTGGATCCGCGGCTACGACAACGGCAACGACGGCGACAGGGCGACCGGACGGGTGGAGTGTGCAGCAAGAGGGAGAGAGCACGGAGGATCACTCTCGCTTTCGTTCGGCTCTCCCTCTCTATCCTTTCTTCTCTCCTCTGTCCCTCTCTCCCTCCCTCTCTTTCTGCTTCTCTCCTTTCTCCCTTGCTCGCGTGGCGGCTGCTGCTGCTACTCGTCGACTAGTAGGAGAACGGAGAGAGAGAGAGAATACAAGAAAGAGAGCGAGAGAGCGCCGGAGGAAGAGAAGCGTCGCGCGGAAGACAGAGCTAGACGTGTGCTGGTCGAAAGACAAAGAGAGAAACAGCTCGTCCAACCGAAGAAACCGAAGAGAAGGAGAAGGAGAAGGGTAAGTATGTACGCGAGCTAAGCTAACGTTTCTGTGGATCTATCGATGCGCCCGGTATGAATTCGTTGCGATAGGAACGATGCATTCTAATCGCTTATACTATATGTATATTATTGCATCATGTTTTTAGTCATTATCAGAAGTATTATTGTTGACACTGATTATGAAAGTATTCTGATTGAATACACACTCGTGATGATATTCGAAGACATTTGTAAACGATATATATACATCAACGAAAGCGAAACTTGATGTAAATCCCTTTTCTTGTGAATGACCATGCGGAAGTTTGTACCCGCGACACGTTTCCGTCGTTTTGGCCTTTTTGCTACGTTCGCTGATCATCACCGCCATCACCATTGGCACCACCTCTACCACAATCTCACCACCACCACGATCACCATTACCACCGTCACCACCACCACCATCGCCACCACCACCTCTACCTCTACCACCATCACCATCAGCACCACCACCACCACCACCACCACCGTCGCAACCGCCACCACCACCAGCAGCACCACTACCACCGCTGCCACCACTACCATTGCCGTCAACGCCTCCTGCTAGCCGGCGGCGATGCACGGTAGTGTCCTCGAGCACGGCGTGCACGCATCGTGCTGCGAATGTTCATGAGTCTCGCGCGGTGCGTCAGGCAAAAACACGTTGTGTCGTCGTGAGACGGGTGACGGGCCAAAGTGCATCCCTTCGAGATTCCCGGTGTTTTCGAGGCTCGGCTCCGACGGTTCGTTGATGCCACGCGTAGTGTATGGGAAACAGGTTCTTAAACATTCATTCTCTTCTATATAAACCCGCGTGCACTACGACCTATACATGTAGATGTAAAGAAAGAAAGAGTGAGAGAGAGAGAGATCCTTTTTATTTTGTTTTTGCCTCGATTGCGCGTGAACCTAACCTAACCTGGCTGGGAACAAACGTCGCTTTGGTAAACAGCATTATCGACTACATACGGAGTGCTGTTCATCGATGGTTTAGAATTTGGTGTTGATTTGCCTGTGTGGTGGATAAAACGGGAAAAAATGAAACAGAAATAACCGATTTTCTAAAGTTTGAATCTTGGAATTTTCGCTCGCGTGTTTCTTGTATATATAGTGTTTTCATATATCGTGTATGCAACGTGTGTTTCAAGATTTCGCGTGGTGTTCATCTATATAATAAACCGCATGGTGCGAAATCATGATTCATCGAAATTTCGATCATTTTCTTGTATGTAAAATTTTCATCGACAACAGTCATTTTCGAGCTCCAACAGTGGCATCGGAAGTGGAATATTGTGTGGCAACAGTTTGAGTACACTACAAGGATCAAGCACGAACAATTTAATCCTGATGTATAGACGTGTATATCGTGTAGAGAAAAATACAGCCCGGTAATAACGTGCAATTTGTAGTTTATACGATAATAATCGAGACGTACACGCGATCGACTTTGGGATTAAGTGTCGCCTTAACGGCCATACTGTATCAATTCTTATATTGGAAGGAAAAAATGGATTTTCATCGGATGATTTTTTATTTTCACATTATTTCAATTGTTGAAATTACTACGATTCCATAGTATCGATATTTTTGTGGATACGTTGATTCAAAAAAAGAAAAAAATCGATTGAAATCAAAAATTAACGATGCATTTCTAACGACAGGAATGCAAAGTAGCCCGGAGGAGAACCTCTCTGTTTCGCCGTCGCGAATACGATCAATTCCCCTTTCTCTCTCGCTTTATTCCTGTCTCTTTCCTTTTTTCCTCCGGTTCCCTTTCCTGTGGGTGTTCCTTCTTTTTTGTGTCGGCAAGCCGCGCAGTACGGCCGCGGAGAGGCGTGGGGGTGGTGGCGGCGGCGACGGTGGTGAAGGTGGTGGGGGAGGGGGCGAATTTCGGCCTACTCGCTTCACGGAACGGCGGAACGGATCGGAACGGACAAGGAACCAACGTCGTGGACCGCGAGAACAACGGGCGCCAAGAGATTTACGGGCACGCACAGTATCCCTTTTACCCGTTTCATGGATTTGTTTCTTTTTTATCCCTTTTTCTCTATCTTTTTCTTTTCTTCTTTTCCAACGATTTTTCTCTTGCTTCTTTCAGTCCATAACTGTCGGAACGGTGCGTTTAATTTCTCGCCAATACTAGTCAAAAGGATTACGAATAAAAAAAAAAGGATTGGTGAATAATTTGTGTTGAAGTCAAAAATGTAAAGTCGAATATATACGTATGCTAGATAAAGCTGCAAAATGATAGTCGATTTCACAGATAGAATGTTCGAGAACTGATTCGTTGTTTTGCTTCTGCATACGAAATAGGGAATATTTTTATCGAATATTTTCCTTGTACGATGATAAATGTACTATTATCTTTCCGATATTGAAATCTATTGGAATCTCTATTAGACTTAAATAATCCGTTAGGAAAGGAAAGAATTCTGTTTTGTCATTGTTTTTAAAAACGTTGAAATGATTTCAATCACTTTTCATTATATTATATCATTTACATATCATTTATTTATATGGAAAAAGATATATTTTTTCTTTATCTTTCGAATATTCTGATTCAATAATTCTTAATACATCATTAATACATGACTGTTTCAAGTCTTTAGAAGTTTAACAAATAACTAATATTACTTTTTATATATATTATAAGTTATGTCTATTAATATTAAAAGTAGATAAAAAATTGTTTCAATAACGTCACTCCAGTCTTCATGAAACTAATACGAAAGAAAGACATGTATATGTGCAATTTATCGGCTGATTCAATAATATTCACTCAGGGCTATATGTAATATAAATTGTTGGATGATTTGTAGTAGCGCCTAAATTCAAACCATTTTGCAATGACTTCTCGAGATAATAAACCGACCTTTTGTTGTGCATCGTAGTTCGCGTGTCAAGACAGTTACGCGTAGTACGTAAAATTTTCATGTTATCGCGTGTTTTCAACCCATTCGTAACCGTCTTGAACACGGTAACCGTTCTTTTTCAGTAACAATATGTTCCATGATCTAACAAAAAAAAAAAAAAAACGAAAGTAAACCAAGGGAAGGGGCGAAGCAGTTGTATAGAGTATCGAACGACACCGATAAAGAAACGAAATATACATGGTGCTTACAGCCGTATTGGCGAACATGGGGCGCACACCTGTCCAACGTAGAAACAGGTATCGATGGCGAAACGTTGTTTTCGAAGGATCCACGTTCGCCGATCGGCCTAGAACGGAGTGTACATGGTACAGTTTCTTCTTTTATTTTTCTTCCTTTCGTAATGCGCCCTTTTTCGAAGTCCGCTCTCTGCGTGGGCTGTCGGACGTCGTTGCGCGCATTAATCCGTGGTTTAGCGAACCAATTTAAATATCAGCGGCGCACTCGACGCAATTTTATATCATTTCCGATATCATGTGCTTGTGTGGGTGGGTTTAACAGTGTGCCCGCCCCCCTTATCCCCACCAATTCTCCTCCACCTAGACGAACCGTTACGCACCTCTTTGCACAAGAATGCCATCGTTGCCGTTTTTCGATATACATGTACACATTATCTTCGACATAGTCACCATCAACTATTGCCCATTATTCTTGTTCTTTCCTATTTCGTTTTGTCCTCATTCTTACGGTTTCATCTCGTGTGTATGTTCGGCCGTACACCGGTGTACCGCATGTTACGTCGTCACGACGTACGGTTGCGGTACATATCGTGAAAGTGCACCGGCGCATGCGCACACCCGCGCTCTTACTCGCGCACGTGCGTGCGTGTGCATATGTGTTGTGCACTCGTGGCCTACGTGGACGGTACAACACCAGCTGTGGTCCGTTTTACGACGCCCGAATAACGTACGTATGTGAATACACGCGTAAGCGCTCGCGCGCGCAGAGCCGCGCGCACTCGCGCGAATCAGTGCGCACTCGAGCGCGTTT